ATGGATAGTAGCATTAAGTTTATATAAAAGTGATCGGGATATAGAAAATCTTAATGGCATCACCGTAGGGAACTGGTTGTTGGATCTAGATGATATAAAAATCTTGTAGGAGTTGGCATCGATTGAACCGTCTTTACCATAAGATTGTTGAATATTTTATTACACTTACTAGGCTAGGGTTATCGAAGTAAAAACACTGACTTTTAAACAGATTCTCTGTGAACGACTTCTGAAACAGGTCTACTTTTCAGTGTCATGCAAAGAGGTTTTTCTAATGATCAGTACGTAGAGAACGTTCATCCTTCCTTTCCTGTTCTGACTTCCAGTTATTTGTATCATTAGTCACCAAATGAGTCATTCACAAACAGCATGTCTTATTTATAGAGAATTTTGCATAAATTTCCCTTTCCAGTACCTCCGTTCATTGTTGAGTTCTTTAACTCTTTTGTCCTTCTCTTTGCTTATGAAGTGATTCTAACAAGAGACTCAATCTAGAGGGTTAAAACTTTCATTGCTTCTGTTAAATTCTAGGGAATCCAGAGTTTTTTTTTCATGGTAATACAGTCTTACTAGGCAATGGTTATTTCCATTTTAATGAATTATCTGAAATATGTAGATCTTCGCGAGGACGAGCACTATTTAGCCGATCATCCTGGTCTAGTGCCAGTTACCACTGCACAGGTTTGGTCTCTATTCAGCACCTCATCATGCATCAACAGTGAATAAGACTTAGTCTACTAAAGTGGTGGATCTATGCTTTCAGGGTGAGGAGCTTCGCAAACAAATTGGTGCTGCATATTACATTGAGTGCAGCTCCAAGACACAACAGGTGCTTAAAATCACCCATTTAATTTGTGCAATAGGAATCAACAAATGTCCTTAGTAGAGGTACACTACCTCGTAACCGCCATGGCAACAAATGGATTTGTGGCTCTTTGAATAACAAGCATGTCTATCCGGGTAATGCTAATTTAAAGGGAAGGTGTCAGTTTTGGAGTACTTCACACTGAACACTGAACTCCAGTTCGTTTCATTTGTTGCATTATACTTCCAACATTTTGAATCATGCCACTATACTGCGAAAAACTTCAAATGCCACAGTGGAGACGTAATTAAACCTTTTAACCTATATGAAACAAGGCATATCACTTAAGTTTTCTGTTGGGATATTAATGGATCATGGACATGTGATTCACTGAAAGAACCAGACATAATCAAGTTCTTTTCCCGCCAAAAGAGGCCGCTGCATGGATCGTCTTACGCTATTTTGTTTCGTATAATTTCAAGTTTTCTGTAATATTCAAGTACAAACATCTCTCTTTGAAATTTCCTTCCACTGTCTTCTTAAGCCTTCTCTGAGTGTATTTCACCTGCATCCACATCATCAAAGCTTCCATAGGCTATCCTTGCAGATGTGCAAACCATCTCCCACAAATCCTCTTTCCTTTTGCCTAGTAGATCCAAGATACTGCTACCACTCTTTCTAATACTTCTTATGAATACTCATCCCTCTTTCGTGTGGAACCTTTCATTTGCTGAATTTGCACCTTATAATGGTCCGTCTTTGGCAGACTTTAATCTTCCCAGTTTCTATTTGCTCAAATCCTCAGCTAGTATCATAGTGTCAGCAAAAGGCATGTGCTGTATAAAGCAAAGAGATGAGTAGTACAAGCCATATCTTGATGTAACTTCTTGTTATTGGGGCATCATCCGTTGCTCCTGGAAAGTTTCCTTACTGAAATCGTGACTTACAACTTTGCTGGCATGCATGTATTCTTTAGCTTATATGCAACAACGTCAAGGAAACCCTTAAGCGGCTTCTGAAAGATCTTGTCATATGGCTTCCGCCCCTCAATAAAAATCATATGCAAATTGTTCGTCCTTATGTTGTTCTTCAAACTTATGCAACAAGTTTTTTTCATGGCTGACTTTTCTGGCACAAAATGAACTTGGTTGTCCTAATTAAGAGTTTCTTTCAATAATTTATACACTCTTGTTCTTAACTTTATTGTCCAAACCATCAACTTCATTTATATGTGTAGTGCATTACTTGGTTTAGATCTCTTGTTTTGCCTCTTTCTTCCCCCTCTCCAGTCAACTAATTAATATCTTCTTCTTTGGAGTCCAAACTTTCAACAAGTCTAGACCTCATTGATAATACGTGAGAATTTCCCTAAGGTTAAATAGCCTCTCATGTAATTATGTGTCTAAGCAAATTAGGCTAGTCCTACTGATTTTAGACAAACAAAAGAAGTCTCTCCAAGCAGGATATTCCATTTCTTGCTATCCTTCTTCAATCAGCACAGCTGTTCGAGCAATATGAGATGGAAGTTTTACCTTCCCATTGTATGTTTCAACTTTCTCATTTAGAAGGTAGTAAGTTCTGATTCTGGATCGTGGATCCTGGCAAACTTACACAACTGCTTTATCTTTCTGAATGATAAGCTTTGTTCCCGAACAGATTAGAAAGTCACGAATAATGAAGTGCCAGATAACCTTTAGTACAGTCCCTGACTGATACGTGAGTGATTATACTTCAAACAATACTAGACATACTATAAGCACTGATATGGCTGAGGACTTAGAATTCTATTGCGAAAATACAAAAGCTACAAACATTGAATTTGTGGTGGTTTATCAACATTTATTATGTTCGCTCGGCCATCTTTTCTTGCTTTTATCCACTTCAATCAGCTTTAACTGGCTTAATAATAATTTTCCTGCAGCAAAATGTATCTGATAATTCTGCACTTGATTGTGCGGTACTCTCATAAACAAGAAGCTCCCAAGTTGACCTGACTAAGAGTTATAACTGGATTCCAACACGTAATAAGAAAAAACGAGTGTTCTTTCTCCCTTACTGCTAAACATATTTTATCTGGCTTGGCGGTTCTGTTTCCTGTGGTTTTTTCATTATTACCTCATGATTCTTGGTCATCACTCTAATAACTGCTCTATTGAATTGCAGAATGTAAAAGCAGTCTTTGATGCAGCAATCAAGGTAGTTATTAAACCACCGCAGAAACAAAAGGAGAAGAAAAAGCCCCGCCGAGGATGCCTCCAGTCAGTACCTTCATTTCTAATAATCCTTCTCTACTTTTTTGAAGAGTGCATACATTGATTTTTCCTCATCCAGTTGGGTGATGATATTAGCTGAGGCACTGAGTCATTGCCAAATGACTTTTGGTTAAGTTCATTGCAAATAGCATCTATTCAATGAAAAGCAGTTACAAATGTAATGATGACTGTTTTAAGAGACTTAAACTGGAAAATTGTGAGGGTGATAACGCAAGAGCTGAAGTTAGATGCTTCTGTTCATATAAGAGGTGCTGTATGTGCTCTTGTCGTGGTCTGTTAAGCAATGTGTCATGTCGTCTCATTGTCAAAATGGCCTGTTTCTTAACTAATATAATAAGAAGTTGGTTTCGTGGTAAAAAAGATGAAAACGTATCAAATCCTGCCAGTTTTAAGGTTTATCCTTTATTCGGCCTTTTTTTTTTTCTAATTCACGTTGGTTCATGTGCTGCGTAAATGTCTGTAATGCCTGGTAGTAGATCACTGTCTGCAAAAGTCATGCTTTTGCTCATTCTTCATTTTGAGAAAGTAGGCCTTTGATCTTGTCCCTGATTATAAAATCCTTTGTTGAACTTCTGTTCTGTGAACTATAAAACTCTCTACTGGTACCATTTAAATCTGCTGGGTCTTAAACTCAACGCTTAGGTGCACTTGTTCTTGATAGAATTGTCAATCTGTTCTTAGCTCGCAGACATGGCATAATTAGATGTACTTCTCCATACCCTTTTATCAGACTGTTCCTAATCATCAACCCTTCCTCATAAGAGTACAGATATTTCAGTGTGAAAATTACAAGCACCTTTGCTCATCATCAAGACCAGATGTTTTTGGTGCATAATCTGTTTTGTGTTAACTGCAGAAACATCTTTTCTGGGAGGAGCCTTGTGTGTCTCATGTGAACCACGACGGTGTGGGATTTGCAATTCAACTCTCGCAGGCATGCCAGATCCTCAATCTCCCATATGATCAGATCTGATGGACAGGACATTAATGGTTTTTGAACTTCTGCATAGGATTCGTTGTATAGTGAGCCGCCTCGGTTCTACCTGACAATGATTTGCATCTGTTTGTCTCAGTTCTCTTCATTTTTAGCATGTCCCTGAAAGGAGAACTGCTTGGTATAATGTTTCACATCTCTTTGTTCATCGTCTCTCTTCTCTATGAGACATCGATTCGGATTGTTTTTCAGTGTATTTAGTTTTAATTGAGTAAGCACGCCACCATTCTCAGATAAAAAAACGGTACTTCATCTTTTCCACTTGAGAGCGTTAACCTCTGGATCGGAAGCTCTGGCATGACCAAATTCAAGACGGTCATGGTAAGAACCTGCTTGGTTAAGTCTTGACTGAACTGTTTACCTTGGGATTGCATGAATCACATGGCAATTCACCAAGGGTTTCTACAAATTCCCGAAGATCTGGCCCTCGGATATCAACGATAGTTAGACCACAGAAGAATAGATCTGTCATTTCATTCAGAACGACAGATCATTCCTTCAAAGTACGATAGAAAACCCCTGTCCTGATTCTTCTAAACCATGGTATTGAGAATATGTGTAGTTTCCAATCCCCTTGAAGAAATTATCTGATAACTCTAGAAAAAGTGAAACAGCGAGGACGCGTACAGAACAAAGTAGCGAAACAAACAGCCTCATTATAATACAAATACGCCTTTGTTTCAGGGAGAATAGGAATCAATGAATCATACATGAAGCTCTCTCTCCCTCCCCCTCTTAGACTTTCCTAAAAGCAGACATTGGAAGTGAAGAGAGCTCCCTTCCGCGGCAACTGGATAACCGCAATTTCTGGAACGGAAAGCAAAGACAGATCAGAATGTAGAGGATGCAATAGAATCGGCAGGACCAGAGTAAACGACCTTTTTTCACGAGGCTTCGAAGCCTCAACTAAGAGAGATGCAAAAAAAGATGCAGTAACTAACCCACATCAGATTAAGACAAGCTCACAATACCCCAATAAGGTGAAATTTTGATCATATATGCGACTGAAGAGAGTTTAAAAAGGATAAATTAAACCACAATACAAAAGCTTCTGTATAAAGCAGCTCAAAACCAATTTTGCCATTATCAGAAGCCGGATAAGCATGGATGATCTTTGGGGTCCATTTTTTTTTTTCGCAGAGTTGATTCACCCAACACCAGTACCGAACCAATTCTCCAACTTTTTCGATGACGCAAATGACATGCTTTCCGTCAGTCAAAATATCTACATCGGGGGAATGGATCCGCAGCCACCCAGAGAGCATATTCAGCCAATGGTCTTCAGATCTCGGACACTGTCTCTTCCTTTAGAGTGGATACAGCAAAGAAGCGGGGGTTTGGAGACCATGAACAACGTAAATTGCACCACCCATCAATGAGGATCCCAGGTTAGATGACGACCTCCGGAAGGTGGCCAATGCCCACCCTCAAAAAACTGCACATAAAAGAAACATGTGAATAATCTAGACATCAAACTTAGATGTTTGCTAATGAGAATAGCAACACCAAAGAGCAAAGGCAGAGAGAGAGAGAGACAGACAGACAGAGACAGAGACAGAGACAGAGACAGAGACAGAGAGAGGCGCAGCATAATAGCCACAAAAACTCAGGCCCCATTATAAAGTACGCCTGAAATCATGTTGATTTTAAAGAGGCAAACAAGAGGATGTAGTGAGGCGCTTACATCAACCAGTGAACATGCAACATAATCCACTTTCAATGGTTTTAATGCTAACTCATCCACCTTCGATGCCCAAGTGAATTTCTAGAAAAGTAAAGTGACAAGATCTCGGTCACACCTCGCCCTCTGATAAAGTGTCTCCATTTCCTTGCCTCGGTTATCAAAACCAACATCATCAAGAAATGACCTCAAAGTGTTCCTTCTCTCCAAAGAAAGCCCATCTCTACTATCAACAGCACCAAAAGGGAGGAATGACAGACAGTAATGCAAAGGCATTTTATAAAAGTAGGCTTCCTTTCATGCGCCGTCTTTTTGCAATCATTGATACAATTGTGCAAACCTGCAGTTCTACTTCATTACTTTTGATACATATCAGATCCGCAGGTCCTGCACTGTACTTGGCATCATTATTCTTATCTACCTTTAAGGTAAAACACGGATAAACATACTTCAATCACCCATCAACTCCATCTTATCCTACATCATTCTTTCAGATATCTTTCTTAGGATTGACTCTACGGTAAATTTACACAAAAATGACAAAAGCAAATGCCCAGAATGCATGCTCCTCAAATATACAGTAGCAATTCCACTGAAAACAAAGACTTATAACCTCGATAATGCATCATGAAAACTTACAAGCATCTACAGGTCACCAAACTGTACTATTGTGCATTCCTACTGCCAAGAGGACTGCTTGTAATTGTCCCACCCTCCGTCAGGCTCTTTCCTTTTCAGAACGCCGCTTGAAACTTGGTACATCCTTGCTTGGTCCTCTGCTAACGCTTGTGAACTCACTACGGAGAGTTGTCTGGGTGCAAGCGACGACGTCTCATCTCTACCTTCCAAGTCGGGCCCTCCAGGCCCAGTATTAAGGTCCAACACTTGCCTGGTCCATTTTTTATTGTTCTCGTAACTATTACCACCATCTGGAAGGCTAACAATAAAAGGTCTGGAAATATTGGTGGATACTGCACCAGGCAGACCTAGTAGCTGCGAATGGACAGGTGGAAAGCAAAGCCTGCCACCTGATGATGGATCAACATACGTCGTTGAACTATTTGAAAAGGTTGCCGACTGCAAAGGAAAGCTCGCAGCATAAGGAGAGAAGACAGGGTACTGAAATGGAGGGGGTGGAAAGGCCACGGCAGGAGAAGAAGACAACACTGGCGTACGGTAGATTTCAGTATTAAATGGAATTCCACCAGTAGAAGGCCCCAGCATCCTAGGTTGTCCTCCAGTTGCAACAACAGGTAGAGATTGCTCCCCTCTTGACAACATTGATGGAATAGTGACAGCTGAGTATGTGCTCCCAGGATGAAACCAACTCGAGAAATTCCCTACCTCCAAATTGTTCATCTTCAGGCCCGAAACAGGTTGCTGAGATGGCACACTGCTTCTTGTATGCTGATTAGGTATCGATGGTTCAGCACTCAAGTCATCAACAGCAGGTCCATCATTCAAATCGAAGTCTCTGTGGGCACCTGTGTCTGTTCCATTGGGAAGACTACCAGCTGATGATTTGGCCAATGAAAAGTTGACATCTAGTCTGCATTTACTGCTCGTCGAGTAGCTCCATGAGTCAGTAGCTTCATCAATCTGATTTAAATCAAGACCAAGACCTCCAGAGCCACGGGTTGGGGCAGAACTACTCATCTCATCACGTCCGATCTCGCGATTACTTTTAAAACTTGGAAGAGAAGTACTCTCCAGAATGGAATTTCTAGAAACTGCATCTTCAACAATCCCTTCATCAGGGACATTCAAGTCAATATCCAATGGAGGGCGACTGGGTTTGGCAGAAGCAGTATCAGGATTAGGAGGGGGATTTGTTGCGAGCAGGGGCATCTCCAGAAGTTTCCTGGGTTCAGCTGGCCTAAATGCACTCGTGGCTGCAGAGCCCTTCCATCCAAGTTCCACTTTAGTCCTCAACAGATCATCAGGAGGAACAAAGGGGCCCTTTGCAGCAGCAGCGACTGGAATTGGTGCACTAAGACTGGTCGACACGGAAGAGGTAGCAAAAGGCAACCGATTAGCTAAAGGAACAACAGCTGCGCTTGCATGTGCAGCCAAGTTTGCTGGCTCACCATATTTCACGTCATCCGTATTGAGTCCTTCATTCAAATCAAACCTGACTTTTGCATCCTTATCAGCACCACCCTCAGTGACAGCCAGAGAAGAAACCTCCGATGAAGCAAATTCCTTGATCTCATCTGCTCCACTGCCTGTCAACTTGCTCAGCCTAGACTTTGCACTCATGTCTTTTACTTGCACAGGAAGGTCAGACAGCCCTTTAGATGAAGACAAGTTCCGCTCACAATCTGCTCTACTTTCCTTATTCTCCTCCATGCCCCCACCCTTGTAATTAGCAAAGCCTGCACCAGAAGTGGCTACCGAAACCTCCTGACTAACGGATCGCAGCTCCATGTGGGTATCTCGATTTCCAACATCTGTCCCATCAGTCCTTTCAGCCTTCACAGCATCAACATTTTTCGTTACCTGTTCTTTTGGCTTCATATCTTCAGAGACCACTGTGTCAGTAGGCCTCTCGTCCACCTGCATGCCATCTTTTGAATCTTCATTTGTTTGTCTTCCATCCTTTTGGCTGGAGAAAGATCCCAACTCGGCAGCTACTGATGCTACTTCAACGCTAGAAACAGCATCAGGTTTTTTGTTCCCAGATGACAAAGAGACAATGGCTTTCGTTTTAGAATCAGGAACAGCATCCTGATTTTCCCTGTCAATTGCTGTATTAGACTCGTCATCATTTCCACTGTCAACAGTCATATAAAGTTTGACTGCAGGGGATCTAGCCGCTGAAGTGACCAATGGTAAGTCGTTTACGTTTTTGTTGCTTTCTGGACATGGTTCTGCAGCCTGTAGCATTTCGGTAGAGGATGAATTCGGGTTTCTCTTCTGCTCTTCCGAAAGTACATCTTCGGATGGTAATGGAGAGACCTTATTGTCTGCTTTCCTGGTCAGTAGTGCGCCATCATTAACCATATCCTTCTGCACACAATCATTGGCAGCACCGCTGGATTGACAATGGTTCCGAGGTGATGAGTTCATTTTGGAATCATTGCCTGCGCATGACTGCCCGACTGCAGAGGGGTTTCGCTGTGGAGAGTCAACAGGAGATACCATTTCGGACATTAACATCTCTCCAGCTGCCACACTAGCAAGCAAGTTCATTCCAACATCATCTTCAACAGAATCAGAAGCGCTAGGTTCAAAGACTTTGACACAACTTTCCACCAAAGCCTTCATGGAGCTAGGAGATGCCTCAGGCAATCTCCCCAATTTGAATTCACTCCCTGATGATGACATAGCAGTTTTTGATGTTTCCAATGCCTTCTTAGTGTTTTCACCAGTCTTGAGACAGTCATCCTGAGGAGCAGTTCCTGGGGACCCATCACCCTCATCACAAGCAGTCACCAAATCTTTCAAATCATTATTCTGCCATGATTCAGCATTCACATCAGACGAAACATTAGCTTGGCATGCATCAGTCTTCTCCTTCAGAGCAGGATCAAGTTGATCAGGCCTTTCCGGGCGCATTGGAGAGGATGCTCTGCTGATCATGACAGATGGATCATCGAAGGATCCACCACTGGCATTTTGAGCAGGACTACGGCCTCTGTTTGGAATCTTAACAATCAATTTGTGACTATTCACCTCAAAAGGCACATCAACTGCCCTTTCACTAGTCAATCCAGACTGAGACACTTTTTCTGGAGCCACATTTCTATGCAAGGAAGTTCTGCTAGAACCCATTTCCCTTCCAGATGCACTCGATCCAGGGAGGCAATTAACCAACTTCTTATGGCGTGAAGGACCACTAGAGACCCTGCCAGAACCAGCCGTGGAGCTCCTAGCATCTTCCTTTCCTGGAGGACCCCCAGTCTTTGCATGGTCGCTTGAGCAAGACTGGCTGTTGTTGTGAGACTGACTAGAACTGCTGCTCTTCTCGTCTCTCGATGTTGTCATAGGAAGATCGGAAACACTGCTAACCACAGCACTACGGGCTTGTCCATCTTTCAAGTTGCCACCAATTGATGCATGTGAAGGAGCTGATTTTAATGACCCAGGAGATACAGCAGATTTAGAGGCACTCTCCCCCTGAATAAGCTTTACCGAAGGACTTCTAGATGCAGGAAGACTAACAGAGCTCCTTGTAGCAGCCTCAGACGAGCCACCTACGTTTCTGTTCCCACCATGACCAACCTCGTTGATGTTCATTTCGGCCTCAACACCTTTCTTCCAGGTGTCAACCAGACTTCTTGCCTTCTTTTGAATTTCTGAGTTCTTGTGAGAACGCAAATTGTTCACCGACTTGCCTATATTACACATCTGTAAGGCATGAAGGTTAACAGGTAATTTATCCAGCGCCCGAAGTAATACCAAAATAAATTCATCCACTGACTTATCATTATCTTTAAGGCTACAGCCATCACCAACTTTCCCCTTATGAACCTCCTGCAGCCACTCATCCAACACAGACAGACCCTTCAGTTGAACAAACTGGCTGAGGCAATCTCTTTTATCTACTTTATCAGTGCCTGCAATCACACCTGTCAGCATCGAGCGGCCAGCTAAATCCACTTTCTTCTCACTCCTGTCTGGCAGCATGAGTTGCACCAGTTTCTCAACCCCTTCCAAATTCACAAGGCCTCCTTTATCTGTTATTTTGGCAATTTCATTTCTCAAAAAGCTTTCTGATCTAGAGTAACCAGAATCCCCATCCTCCATTTTGATAGATCGTTCACGTTTAATGGGCTCAGAGCCCTGATCTCCACGCTCTCTTTTCTTTCCCTTACTTTGAGAAGCAAAGGACGAAGCACTATTCTGTACACAATCTGAACCAGATTTTAGTTGTGAAGCTGATGTCGGACCATTCATTTGTTTTGGAGAACGACCATTTGGTTGCACTGTTGCATGCATTTCTATTCGAGTCTTATATAATAGCTGATCTACTTCTTCTTGATGTTCCTGCCAAAAAATTGTCAAATTTAGTCAGACAAACACACTCAGGGGCACCAAACTGAAGTTGCACGGAAAGAAAGCTCACATTAATATAGTCTTGGTCAGTTAGCCACCAAAGACAACTGTTGGAAATGTCATAAACTCGTCGACAAACAAAAGAACAGATCCCCGATGGAAGTTCAACACCTTTTGGAAGAAATGCAACTTTACACGGATGGAGTAAAGATGCTGCAAGAGTCTCATCCCTATGAAAGGAATAAAAGATTTCGTTTGGGGCAGCTTCTAGCAGGATGCCTCTGCTAAGCTTAACTTCAGCAGGCCGATAGAGCCAATTTACACCCAACTTCAACTCGTTGTCTTTACTTGAAGTTAATGAACGAATTATACCGATAAAAGGTGGAGAATCTTGGGGTGGCTTAAACAGGGCACAATCACCAACACTGATCTTGCGTCCGTCCTACAAAAGAGGAAAGCTCGAAGCTTCATTCATCCATACAAGCAACTAAATCTTGCAAAAGTGGAGATGCAGAATCTTGCAAAAGTGGAGATGTAGAAGAGCAGAACTGAGCATTTCATAACTGTACCATGACCATTCTACAGAAGCATTAGCAGTTTTTCAAAGAGAGGGAGGAAATTAGAAACTTGCAAACCTACAGAAACAGAATCTGCACTCTCCCAATCTCTTGAAAGGAAAAGAATAGGTAAAAAATTGAGCATTCAATAAAAGCAAGCTACAACAGAAAAGGGAAACTATAAAATGCTTAAAAAAGTAAAAAGACCAATCCAACAAAAGTTACAAAAAAACTTTAATCTGAGCCCCATCTAGTGAACATTTGTCTCAAACATCAATTACTTTATGAATTGTGACCTGGCATGAGCATGAAATAAAACCAATTTGGGAAGCTAAAAAGTTATCCAATTGCATCTTTTCCGGTGAACTGCTAACCCTGAAGACAATTCCTTCAACTCGCTGGACTTTACAACCTTGACATTAAATATTCAACGAACACTATCTTAGCTAGAACAATCTTAGCAGAAAGTCTTTTCCTTATATATCTCAGCCGTACCAAAAGATGCATTCAGCAATGGCACACTGAAGCTTGAAAACTAATCCAAAACCTCACTGTTTCAAGCAACTCAAAATCTGATTTACATTGATTAACATTGGCATCATGATACAATCGGAGTTTTGACAACAAAATGACAGAAACAAACATTGTTCGACTACAACAGTGAAATTGTAAAAGAACTGCTTTTCTGTTCAATTGGTGAGCGGCCATATATTGGCAAAACAGCAATGATGTCCACCATAACAACATATACAAGCCGCAGACCATTTACCACCAAAACCCAAAAAATTGGCAAAAGGCTAACGGAAAAAGAAAAGGCTTGTTGCTAAAACAAAAGCAGTTAGACATCAAGAATATTATCATCCAGATGGTCCCCCAAGACAAAAAAAATAAAAAATAAAATAGGAAGGACGGAGGAGGTGGAAAGACAGGAAGGGAAAGGGGGAGGGGGGAGAGATCCTGACTATACAGAAAATGTCTGTGCATTTTCAATTACATATATGTTTCACAATTAGAAGGACAGATACAAAGCCAAGCATCACAGACACCTCTCCAGCAAAGTTCTGGGCACCCAATATCCACTTTCCAGTATGATGGCCAATAACCACTTATAATTGATAAGCAATAACAACGGAAAGACAAATAACGAATTCAATTCAAGCCACCAAATCTAAATTCAAGATCGTTTAGACCAAAACTCCACAATCCCACAGTCTCCATAACGATTCAATAAAACTGATAGCAAAATCGCATAGGCCCACAGTTTTTGCTGGTATGGACGTCGAAACATCCTCATAACCCACAATTTTCTAAAAGAAAAAAAATGAAAGTCACCTAAACATAAAACAAACCTACAATTGTCTGCTCAATTAGATTAATGAGAAGCTAGATATAGATAAACCAATCTTCCCTATAACTGAAAGCCAACGAGAACTAATTCATAGCAAAGACGGAGCCAAAAATTCACTGCATATTCACCAATCCAAAAAAACCGGCGTCCCCATCATTTTCCAAATTCATCATCAATCAACAAACAGGAAATAGCCCAACCAATCTACCCTACCAGGAAAACTTAACCAGAACTAATTGGCCGGCGATTGGCGAAGACCAAGACAAGAACCCCCCCATCGGCGCACACAACCCCAATCCAAATCCGAGAAAAACGGGAATCGAGACCCGGGACGCCGCAATACCTTGTGAAAGAAATTAGGCGACGAAGAGGCGGAAGAAGAAGAAGAACCATCAGCATCGGGTGCAACAGCAACGCCTACACGCGTGGGGACCGTCCGCATGTGCCAATTGCAACTCCGCCTTCCCCTCCTCTCCTCACCTTCTCTCCCATGCATAGCCTTGCATTTTCCCCTATTCCTGCCCCCTGGATGGCAACAACAATCCCTATTTCACTTCCGGCGACTACCATCAATAACCCCTCCGGCGAGAAATCCCTCCTCCTCCTCCTCTTCCTCCTTCCCTTCCCTTCCCTAAAAAGCCCGCGGCGGAAAAGAACCCCCCCCCCTAATCCGCGACGAAGATCCTCCGCTGCCTGCCCCCCCGTCCGTCAATTCCGTCAGCCGCGATGCCGAGCCCTAAATCCCGCCACCATCCGCAAACCCTAGCCACCGCGCCACCATCCCGCAAACCCTACCCTCCTCGAAGCGATCCCAATTAGCGATTCCGGGAGAGGGTCGTCGGGCCACCGATCAATTCGCCATCCGATCCGCCGAATCCGAAGCGATTTGAAACGGCCTTCGATCTAGAGAGAGAGAGAGAGAGAGGCAGAGGGAGAGGGGTAGAGATAGAGAGAGAAACGTGAGAATTTGGTGCGAAGGGCGAAAAAAAATTGGATATAGAGAGAGAGAGAGAGAGAGAAGGAGAGACGGCAAGGGGGAGGAAAAGGCGTACTTGGTACTTAGCAGGGGCCTCGGGCAGGGGAGGAGGGGGAGGGGGGCACGGACGGATCGGGCAGGGGGCCACGGGCAGAGGGCGAGCGATAACGTGACGGAGCGGTGACTTTGGGCGCGGTGACGCGTGCGTAATCATGGACCGCGACCGCACTGGATTGGTGTGATCCGGTGTTGACTGATCCCTGCCCATTTGACTTTCCTTATTCTAATGAAGAAAGCCTTTTCTTTTTAAGCCCCGCAAAAAAAAAAAACAAAACAAATGAACTAAGGAAAAAAAAAAATTTTGACAACTTTGTTGTCTGTCCGAGATTACAAGCAAAAGTTGCGGTGGGGCCCGAGGCAAAATGCAGCATATCGCTCAGCGACTGTTTTTCCGTGTTCTTGTTTTTTGTTTTGTTTTTTGTTTTTGTTTGTATGATGATGATGATCATGCAGTGCTCCTCCCACATTATCATTGTTGGCGTACCTGAATGTCTCGCGAGAATAAGGATTACTTGCGAGAGTGTTCGCTCCCGCGCCCTCCAAGCAAGTCCGGTACGAACAAAAAGGCTTCAAGCCTGTACCCAAGGACAAGAAGATAAGACGCTCGCCTCTCTTTTATCGACTGATGTGATGAACAACCATCTAATCGGGGATTATCATTTGAACGATTTGAATCGATACCGATCATCTCTAAAGAGGTGCACACGGAGGGCACAACAGTATTCGATGCCAGCCCCATCACATCCAATGTTTGTGTGATGCATAGCTCTTATGTGGTGTTTTCCCGCAATCCCTAGTGCACATAGACGACATCAATTTCGGAACAATTTATGGCCATCCAATTTCGATTTTTCGATACAGACAAAACCATATCCTAACTCTTAACCTAGCTTGTTTCCAGCAAGCTAAGTCAATCTTTTCCGGACCTAATCAAAGGCCGCTCGTTCATACTTCAAGCTCCTTGAGAGGACAACCAAGTTCAACTTACTTGGTGTCAATATGGGGTGGTGGTGGCAGCAGCAGCAGCAGCAGCATCACAGCAGCATCGCGATTCACAAGCATAGATTGTGTGGGTTAGTGGAGGGCTAGATGGATGAAGGGAGGAGGAGCAGTACTTGGGGGCCGAGGGTACGATGGTCAAAGGGTGCGAGGTGCGGCGCTTTGACAAAAAGAAGAGGGAACGAAGGAGGACAGCTAAGGTTGTCCCGAGCTGTCCCGACATGCACCACCCAAGCCAAGACAGTTGTGGTGCTTCTCTAACATAAATGCACTCTGTTTTATAGCAGGGAGGAGGAAACACAAAAAGAGAAAAGAAAGAGGAAAAGGATAAATAGAAATTGAATTCAGGGAAGGGGGTCATGCTTCGGTAAGCATCCTCAGAAGCGGCCTTGGGTTTCAGTGAAGAAAGATTCAGGTGTACTTTTCAACCACAAGAGGAAGAAAAAAAAAGCCTTTCCCTTTTTCCCAGATAATGAAAAGTACGATGCTTCTCTCCGGGCAAACGACCAACTACGCAAGTGGCGATGTTGCTCCTCCTTTGAGGGGATGTCGACTTTTTTTTTTTTTTTGGTCAAGAGGGGATGTCGAATTCACTCGCGCAGGATATGACCCTTTTGTCCGAAAGTCGAGCCAATGGAGATTTCCAAATGTGGGTAGTAGTGTCTGCAAAACTGTGTGCGCAGGAGGGAGAGGGAGAGGGAGAGGGAGAGAGAGATGGGATGGGGTTAAATCACGCGCGTTAACATCATCGCCCCCTGTGTGGGCGATTTGCTGCGATGGGGAATTATTGAGACATTGACACACTGACTGTCTTTTAACGAGTGTGTCTCCATCTCTACCTATCATTCTTCTTTCACCACGAAACGGAACTTAAAAAACTTTTTCTCGCAACAACACTTCCCGGTTAGAATGACTTGCAAGGTTGAGCTCCGTGTGATGAAGGATCTTTTTTTCTTGTGCTGCACGAGTCTGCAGTTTGAAAGACAGACTTCTGTCTCGAATCTCGATAGCGACTTGATGAGATTTGAGTGATCGGCGTGGTGAACCACCTGAAATGCAAGTTGGAAAAGAAAAACCGCCGTCACTTTCGGTGCTCCGACATCATCCCCTGCCCCAGAAGCCAACTTCAATTAAAACTCCTGCAGATAGCAAACGGACAGAGCATCATAAAGACAAAACATCATCTTGCATTCGCTAGCCCTCAAGGCAATAGAAAAGAACCCCCTAGCCAGAATAACCAGATGAATAGATCTATAAAAAGGAAAAAATCAAAGCAACTGTTTTAAGGACGTGGAATCAAACGGCATGGGTGAGCGTGCTGTGCTGTGCGCATCTATGGACCTTTTGTATGGAAATCTGCTTCGATACCGACAATTCTACCAGGAGAAGATCTCAATATGAACTCTTAAGGGGCGTAAGCTGGTAGCTGTTCACCGGTAACCAGCTCCAACATACTTCAACTTCCATAAATCACCTTGATTTTATGCAGAGCAATTTTCCATTTTCACCCATTGACCATTGTGACAATAGATCGAAGTTTGAACTATGAATACAAGCACTCGAGTATAAATCATCCCAAAGAAGTCATTGGGTTTGTAGTTGCTCTTCGAAAAGTAATGTCCTGGTGCAACATATCTACGTCTCCAGTTGAGTTCTGAAAGTTGGTTCAGCAAAAAAATGTTCTCAAAGGTGAGGAAAGAAAAAATTCACTAGGCAATGATTTGCCAGCAAGACATATAGGAAAAGTAAGAAGCTGCCAAAGAGCATATCAATGAATTTCGAGTCAAAAACTAGACAAAAATGGGAGCCCAACAAGGCGGAATGAAATGATACGGTTTGGTTCTTTTCGTTGTTTCCAAAGCCAGTTTAATTGGATAAGCACCTCAAAGAACGGAACTGTTGATTTAACTAATTGCTTTGATGCACTATCTCCCAAGAGCACTTCTAGAACTGGAAAATCTATCGGTTACCAATTGTGTAAGGAACCGCACATTAGATGAAAAGATTGATCAGCAGTCACTTACTCATAAAGTTCAAGCAAACATACGCTGTGTTGCTGAGTCGTCGGAATGATTATCTCCCGAGAAGAACATGGCACTAAAACATGAGGATTGTCCCATGACTCAGGTTCAGTCAACCTACTTTCCCACCTCCTCTGGAAGTCCTAAGCCACATCCAGCAAAAGAAGCGGTTTCCAGTTTCGTTAGTAAAAGCAGATTCCCTGTAAAAATAAGTCATAAGAATCTTTCGCGAGTCAATTTCCAGACAAAGCATAGAGCACATCTTTATAACACGTTGAAATGCAGGAAATTTCTCCGAAATGTGGGAAATCATTAGGCTTGCGCTAAAGATGCTAGACCCAAAAAGAAAAACTTAACGCTTATAAACGGTCCCACTGGGCATGACACCATCGAACAAGAACGCATCCTACCAAATAGGGCTCGATCTACAGTGCAAATGACATTCACAGGTACTCACTTTCAGGTTCAAGCTGCAAATTGCTAGACATCACCTTGAGCAGAAACAGACTGAGCTACTGCACCTGTTTAACCAACATCTCTGATCAGAGCCCCCGACAGAACAAGCAACTCGTCTACTGCAAGTTTGCAGAAGGAGCTCAAACTAAAACCATATGTCGCAGAAATTTTTGTTCTTTGAAGAAAAAAAAGAGAAGCCCCTTCAAGTCCAAACTGTCATTGTCCTTGCCGGGTCAAGCAGCTATGGCACCAACCCGACACGCCCGTGATAACACCGACAGATAAGCTTGCCACACAGGTCGGCCCTTCCTACCATTCTCTTGACCATGAAAAAGAGCAACTGTCATCTTAATACAACCATGAGTCAAAGTCCAGACCAGAGAGGCCCGACAACCTTTGATTCTACAACCGCCGATGATAACTCGCAAAGCTACAGCACAACTCCTGAACAGCAGCTGGGAATTACAGTATCTATGTAGGGCAAATGCAACTTTCGTCGCGCGCGCGTGTCGGTTTCTCCGGCCAAACGCGCCTTTCCGACATCGATCGAACCTAAGCTGCTGCAACAAGGAAACACGGCGACGGGAGCGAGATGGTTCCGGATTTCTCGGATACAAGCAGCGACGGCCATCGCCGAGCCAGGACTTGGGAGAAAAATCGGCAGAAGAAGAAGCATCGAATGGCCGCAACAACGCGCGAAGCAAAAGAGAGGATTGCGGCGACGTACAGCATCGGAATCGCCGGCGTGGAAGGCGTTTGGAGTCCGCGATCGGTTCGAGGATGATCGGATGGGATCGGATCGGATCGGAGCGGTTCCGATTGGTCCGAAGTCGCCGCGTGAACGATGAAGAAGACGAATGGAAGTCGAGGCTCGGGCCGGGGCTTTTTCGGTATTTTCCTTTTTTTCTTTTTTTTTTTCGGCCATAGGAAAAGTACCGACTATATATTCGATTGAAAATAAAATGCTATTATTCGATTAAAAAATAAGTCTATAAATGGGTCAATTCGAACACGACTCGTTTATTAATCATGTCAAAAAAATTTCGACCCGAATTCAATTACACTGGTCGAATTTGGTCACTCTATCATGAATGTCTTTTTGTTTTTTGCTTAGAATATGGAAAACATTGTAAATTTAACTTAGTCAGATTATAGCAATAATTAATGTCAACTTATTTTATATCATAAACATTACTACTAAAAAAAAGAAATATAAAGCTAATTTAGATTAAAGAGGTCAATAGAAATTTTTCCATTAATAAAGTTGACGTGCCTCGTTTACTCCAACGGGTTAAATTCGAGTTGCATGGGCTGAACTTAAAACATATCCCGTTCATTAATCATGTTGAATGAGTTGACAAGGTTACATCCTAGACTCGTTAACTCTATGTCGTGTTTGAGGCATATTATTGTATCGTATCACAAACCCTCATTTGTTTAGGACATTACCACCATAAAAATTGACTACACGTCCATTGAAGGACAGATCAAAGGGGCTAAGAGCGGTCATTGTTTCTCCCCACCGCTATTTCTTCGATGTAATATTTGCAATATTCTATTTTTGCATGTAATATCGATATATCTCGTCTTTAATTGAGATTTTACTAAAGTTATTAGCTTGCGATATTCAAATTAAAGCTTTGCATCCGCCCGTTTATCCATTCACTAGTTTTTCGACAAAGCACTTACTGAATTCCCATAAAATTAATAATATTACCTTAATTGTTTTAGTGATTGAAAATCATATTTAATGACCTAATTCCAATATTTGGTGGTCATTATTCACAAGTAAAACTTTAGTAAATGAAATCACCGTGGGAAATTACCCGAGCAAAGAAGGGAAGAGAAACGGAGGATGATAAATTAAGTGGGCTTTCATTGGGCCTTCTGAAGGCTATGGAACTGGCTACTTAAAGCCCATGTGAATATTAGCAGGGGTCCATCCATTCGCTTCACATTCTAAAAAAATTTAAAAGATAATATCTTTTAGGGAAAATGACACAAATAGTAAATTTTTTTAAGGGAAAAATATAAAAAGGAGCCCAAAGTGGAGTTATTTTCTCAAATAAGAGCCTGAAATGGACATTTTCTCAAATAAGGACCTAAAATGCCCTCATTTTCTTAAATGAGGGTCTGAAGTGAATCTTATCTCAAATAAGGACTTGAAATAACCATATTAGTTTCAAATAAGGACCTAACCTCATGGGTAAAGGGTATTTTTGTCTCTTTTTTTTTCCTTTTTCTGTTTTTTTTTTTTCCTTTTTTTTTTTTCCTCTCTTCCCTCCGTCGAGCAGGGGGTATTTTTGTCTTTTTACTTTTTTTTTTCTTTTTTTCTTTTTCTGTTTTTTTCTTTTCCTTTTCTTTTTTTTTTTCCTCTCTTCCCTCCGAGGTCGTCGCCACCCGGCAGGTTGCCGACCCTCGCGCGCAGTGGGTTGCCTCACTTGGGCGAGCGAGGCGGGTTAACCTCACCGCGTGTCAAGCAAGGCCCGCCCTCACCTCGGCCTAGCCGAGGGTGCCCTCTCGGGATGGAAGGGCAAAGAACATACTAACTACCCCATCTCCGGCGAGGCGACCGTCACCGAAAGGCCTTAGTTGAAGGCAATATGTTCACTTTAGACCCTTATTTGAGAAAATTACTCCACTTCGGGCCCCTTTTTGAAATTTTCCCTTCTTTTAATTTATGTGCAATATCATCCCTGAACTTTTAATTTGTTCAATGCAGTCACTAAACTTTGATCCAATGTGCAATGTTGTCCCTAGACTTTTAATTTGTTTAATGTGGTCTCTGAACTTTTAAACATTTTCCATATAATTTAGGGACTACATTGAACATTTATCAATAGTTTATAAATCACATCAAATAAATTAAAAGTTTAGGAGCAATATTGCACATTGGGCCAAAGCTTAGGGATCACATTTCACAAATTAACAATTCATGGACAACATCACACAATGAATCAAAGTTCACGAACCATTTATGCTATAATATTTCTGTTAAAGTACGAAAAGGTTATCTTAATTTTTCAAATAAATTATAAAGATATCTCACTCAAATGACTTTGAATATCTTGCTTATACTTTTCAAAATCTAATTTGCTTGATAGTAATCTCAATCCCAAATACAAAAAGTACATGCCGTTCTAAATTCACTTGATTCCTCGCATTACCATGAGAACGATGCTATGAAAGAGAAGAGAACCATATGATTTTCACCTCTATTAAGCTTAACTATTTAAGTTTTTACCTCATAGTTGTTAAATAGAACGTCTTCTAAACCTCGTCATGCTAAATCCGAAACATTGCAAAATAATTAAATGTCAAAAGTCTGTCATTGTTCTATTAAAAGTAGATATACAAAATCATTTACATAAATATGTATGTATGAAAGCCTCCTAGAACCTGAATCCGATTAACTGTATTATTTCAACGTCGAATACGAAATTACTTCTAGATATTTGTGTTAGGACCAACAGGGTTTTATTATATCCAATTGAGTTGGCACTTACAGAAGCAATTTCAAATCGGAGCTAAGAATGGGTTTATTGTATGTGTATATATAAACCTATATGATGTATATTCTAATAATATTTACTATGATTTCATACTTATAGTTTCGAATTGTCGTTCTTTGTATGCATTTTATTTTGGTGGAGAAAGAGAAAATGGGTTGTCAAAATAAGACCATTGACTCAATCGGCTGTAAAAGGGCAATGATGTCATTGTTAGATAGTATGGTGCGAGGAACCATTTTGTTCCAAAAAGCATGATGCGCGGAAGATGTTTCACTTGCGACCTTTTGAGGAGATGTAACATTTGAAATTATGTTTGAATAGTCACTACACTTCAAAATTGACGTGCTCTTACACTGTATTGAGTCTTTAAAGGAAGGCTGAAAAAAAAAAAGGGTTAATACTACGAAAAACCAAAAACTGATATAATCGTGACAATTTTATCCCAAACTAATTTTTTGATTACCAAAAACTTCAAACTGGTACATTTGTGACAAATTTACCCTCAGTTTGTTTCTATTAAATTTTACAGTCAAATTGCTTGTTAAATGACACTCGGTAGTTGACTTATATACCAGTTTTATGTTTTACCTTCTGTTTGTCGCAGGTGTACTAATTTGTGATTTTTTTTTTGTATTAATCCAATTTAATGGAAACTAATGGAGAGTAAATTTATCACAAATATACCAGTTTGAGGTTTTTAGTGGTCAAAAAATTAGTTTGGAGTAAATTTGTCATATGTATACTAGTTTGGGGTTTTTGGTGGTCAAAAAATTAGTTTGGGGTAAAATTGTCACAGGCATACCAGTTTGAGGTCTTTCATGGTATTAACCAAAAAAATAATAACAAATCCATCTCTATGAATTTCTTCTTCTTTTTTCACAAGGTTATATTGCCAAGTCTCCAATGCACAGTAAAAAGAACAAGATCTTTTGTTATAGGGTTAATATCACGAAAAACTCCAAATTGATACATTTGTGCAATAACTGGCAGCTTTTGTTGGCATTGATCACTCTAAACTAATTTTTTTACTACAAGGTACACCTGTGACAATTTTACCCTTCGATAGTTTTCGTTAAATTTTACCGTCAAATTGCTAAACTGAATGACCCTTGACAGTTGACGGGTATATTGGTTTGAGGTTTTACTCTCCGTTTGTCATGGACATACTAGTTTGTGATTTTTCATTGTATTAATACAATTTAATAGAAACTAACGGAGGTAAATTTGTCACAAACGTACCTGTTTAAGGTTTTTTGTGGTCAAAAAATTAGTTTGGAATAAATTTTTCACAGATATACCAATTTGGGATATTTCATGATCAAAGAATTAATGAGGTAAATTTATTATATGTGTACTAATTTGGAGTTTCTCGTAATATTAACTTTTTATTTTATGGAAAGAAGAATAACTTCCGCTTATAATGAAAATCCTCTGGAAAAACCCTTTATTGTGTTTTGAACTTCGGTACAATAATGTCGGCCTAATTCCAAAAAAAAGCATCAACTTTAGGTCGAGAGACAATTCTGACTCGAACTTTTTTTTGTCCCATAAAAAAGCACTAACTTTAGGTCAATGGACAATTTTGGCTCGAATTTTTATTTATCCCATAAAAAAACACAAACTTTAGGTCAAGTGACAATTCTAGCCCCAATTTTTTTTTGTCTCATAAAAAATCAATAACTTTCATCATGATCCCAAATCTGGCCCCCCATTGACTTTCACCATTGTTTGAGAAAGAAGGTTATAGTGGTGAGCTTGGCGAATCTTGTCCATGGCGTCCGTCGACAGGCAATGGTCAGCTTCAGATTACATTTGCCCAAAGAGATTCAATCTGGAGATATTTTTTACTTGCCGGTGAAGCAAATGAGACAAACAATTTCACCGTTATTCTTCAAATTGTGACTTAGAGAATAAGACAATGAATATTGCTTTAAATCCAGTCAGCAAGCCACGTGAATTTATTGCTAAGGTGGAATAGTCAAGTTAGATAATCAATGGTTCTAAGTCAATGAGGGCCAGATTTTGGATTTAAGTGAAAATTGATGCTTTTTTATTAGACAAAAAAAAGTTAGGGCCAAAATTATCCCTCGATCTAAAGTTGATGCTTTTTTACGAGACAAAAAAAAGTTTAGGCCAAATTTGTCCATTGACCTAAAGTTAGTGCTTTTTTACCGGACAAAAAAAAGTTCGGGCCAGAATTATCCATCGACCTAAAATTTGTTCTTTTTTTTGGAATTAACCCCAATAATGTCAGTAAAGACGATGCAAATGCTTGCCGCTTTCCATTGCCAAACATGCCTACTCCTAGTCGCGCTCTTTGGGTGCTAGAAGCGGCACTAGGCTCTTTCATTATTTGCTAGCTGTAGCATCTGGGTCTGATTACGTCCAATGTCTGCAAATTATTCAATTCCTATCACTTCCCCCCTAAAATGGATTGAAGTTGAACATCCACCGAACCAAGAAAGGAGGGAGAGAGAGAGAGAGAGAGAGAGAGAGAGATGGATGTGCCAAACCACCATTTGAGATCCCATGGAAGCATCCAAAAGCGCCCAAAAGAAAGGCTAGAGAATCTGGTAACTCTGTGGTCCTACCATGGAGGAGATTGACTCGTAGAGCGACCAAAACGAAAGAGACAACTCCATTTCCTTTCCCCCCATCAGCTGTCAATTCTCAGTTCTTTCTTGTCACTTTTTAACCCGAAACAGGACCCTAACAATAATTTAAGGTTAGGTGGTGACTGATAAGGAGCAGATCTTGTTGAGGCTTCTTCACCGCCATGATCTTGACATAAATGGCTTGAAGGGCATGGATAAAATTGACAGGGAAAGACAACTCCATTTCCTTCTCCCCCTCAGCTGTCCATTCTCAGTTCTTACTGGTGACTCGTTTACACGAAACAAGACCATAATAATAATTTAAGGTTAGGTGGCAACTGATAAGGAGCAGATCTTGTTGAGGCTGTTTCACCGCCATGATCTTGACATGCATGGCTTGAAGGGCATGGATAAAATTGACAGGAAAATTAAAAAAAAATGAAAACAAAAGAAAGCTATTAAGAAGGGGACAAATTAGAATGCCCTTTTATTTACTCTTTTTGTTTCTAATAAAAAAACTACGATTTGCTTTATCAACTATGGAAACCTGAGACTGTTGCCTAGTAAATGCCACTGTTCATTTACAGATCTGAGATTTGCGAACTTCGTAAAATTATTATTATTTTTTAATTTAGTTCATGACTTTCTTGTCAAATGAAAATTATTTCGAACTTGGATAAAGAAAGTTTCGCATGGTCTTTGGCTCCATGCTTGCTTCTTCTTTCTAGTTTCTACCACCAACTTCACGTTTCTCACACATTCGACTGTTCTTCAGGTGCATTCACGTCCTCGGTGTCTCTCACCCGCATTGTGTCAAAATGAAAAACCTCTTGGCTGCTCGGTTTCTCGAGTAGAGTTTTGAGCTTTAACGCTTCTTGATCTGGCTTCCCAATGCTGTGCGAGTGAAGGGGCCACTTTTTATCTCTCTAGCTTCTTTCCTCGAACTTTTTCGAGCCAGTGATTCCCGTCTTTTTGGTCCCTGTTCCAACCCTTTAGAGATTCACTTTTGTTTTCGAACCTCTTATCCTCCTACTTTCTCTTTATTCCTCCCGTTTACCATCTTTTTCCAGACGGGTTGATTCTAGTGATTCAGTCTTTTGTAATAATCTTGAGGCTTGTCCATTTTTTTTTCGTGCATTGTTGTGTGCTTCTTGAAATCCGGGCTGGGTGTGTTCTTGGTTCTTTCAAGAACAGTGTCAGAGCGAGCGAGAGAGAGAGAGAGAGAGAGAGGGTAGAGAAGTAGAAGAAAAATGGCTGCAAAAGCTGATGAGCCGCCACCACACCCACCAAAGGATCAACTGCCCAATGTTTCATACTGCATCACAAGTCCTCCTCCATGGCGTGAGTAACTCTTTTCCTTCACTGATTATCCTCTTCCATTGGTTTCTGGAGCTCATTTTCAAGCTCACTATTCCAGGCCAGTTCTGCCAGTTTTCTTAAGTATGGTTCATATGATTCCATGTGATGCATCAGAGTAAGTTCTTTTTATGTGTTCATATATATATATATATATGAGCTGAGATCACAAAACTTTTATATGTGATTGGTAATTCTTCACGGGTGATGGTAATTAATGTGTTGGAATTTCACGTAAGTGAATTCCATCACGTGTGTATAGATTATAAGTTTGTCGAATTATCCAGTCTATGGTCGCTTTTGCCAAGTGAGTCACTTTATTGGTAAGAATCCCCTGTTTCTCCTGTCATTTTTTTTATTATTAGGCAGGAAGAACGATTTTTCTGTTGATGAATTTGTGGTGGTATAGAAGGCTGATTTGCAGAAGTCGTTGCAATCCTACTTTGCTGTTATTTTTGTATCTCCATTCTCATCTGTTATTTTGAAACTTAATGTCTCTTCTTTTGTTATTACTTAGTACCAACTTTTATATCTTGAATTCAGCTCTAGAAGAGGCTCTGATTTAATTGTATGAATTGTTTGGGATGTATGCAGCTGAAGCTATTCTCCTTGGCTTCCAACATTTTCTAGTTATGCTGGGTACAACTGTGCTCATACCTACTGCCCTTGTCCCGCAAATGGGAGGTAGAAATGTAAGGAGTTGCTCCATTTGAAAACATGATGGCTAAAATTCGCCAATTGTCTCAAGAAAATGTTTAACTATGTGATTGATCTCACTATTTAATAGGAGGAGAAGGCGGAGGTGATCCAGACACTACTTTTCGTGGCTGGTATAAACACATTGCAGCAAACTCTGTTTGGGACTCGATTGCCTGCTGTGATCGGAGGGTCTTATACATTTGTTCCTACTACAATCTCCATTATCCTTGCCGGTCGATTCAGTGATAATTCAGACCCTGTTGATGTATTTCCATCTGAACACATCTTCTTTTATTATGGTTTTTATACTAAAGTTGCTTATCATTTCAGTGCACAGGTCAGCATTATTGTTAGATTTTTCTTTGATATGACATTGTGATCCTGTTACGATGCATTCAGAGATTCAAGAGAATTATGAGGGCAATCCAGGGATCTCTTATTGTTGCTTCCATTCTTCAGATTGTCCTAGGATTCAGTGGCCTCTGGCGGAATGTTACAAGGTACTCTCTCTCTATCTCTCTGAGCTACAAAAACTCACTTAGTTCTAGCACCATAATTCGAAATGGGAGTAATCTCTGCTGTAGTCTGAGTGAAGATGATTTCTGAAGTGCGTGTACTGATGCATTAGTTTGCACGATCAGGCATAGTACTTGGAGGACCATGAGTGCCTTCCCATTGTAGTCCATAAAACAACGGTTGCTCAATTGCTATTCAATTTTCAGGTTCTTGAGTCCACTTTCAACTGTCCCATTGGTGGCTGTACTAGGATTTGGGCTATATGAGTTGGGTTTTCCTGGGGTAAATGTTCTTTCTTGCTACGTGCAAGCTGTGCATGCCTATAGACAGTATATCCTTGACATCGTCATTCATTAGCTTTGTATTTTCAGGTCGCCAAATGCGTGGAAGTTGGGCTTCCAGAGCTCATAATTTTAGTATTCATTTCCCAGGTTTGTCCTTTGAAAGGCATGTTCGAATGTTCATGCCAAGATTTATACCTTCAATTTCCAATAAATCCTTACAATTTCATCGTTATATGAGTTGGGAGAGGGACTTCACAGAGTTGAAGTTGTGTTGTAAATTTTGGCTTTGCAGTACATGCCTCATGTTATACAATCAGGAAAACATGCGTTCGATCGATTTTGTGTCATATTCTCGGTGGTAATTGTGTGGATCTATGCTCATCTACTAACTGTTGGTGGGGCTTATAACAATGCTGCACCAAAGACGCAATTAAGCTGCCGCACAGATCGTTCTGGACTCATAGACGCTGCTCCATGGTCAGTTTCTTTTTCTTCTTTTCAATGTATCATGCTTGTCTTCTACACATAAGCCCACTGTGGACGTAACACTAATGAAATTGCTGACATTGACAAGTTGGGAGAACCTTGAGATGCTGTAAACTATTTCATTTCTAGTTATTGATAATTATATTGGTTCATCAATAAGAGATTGGTGAGGACTTCATCTGTTGTGGACATGATATGTTATCGAGTTCAACTCATGAAAATGATCTTTGACCGATAACGTGGATGAAACATTACGAACTTGACTGACGTGCTTTCTATTTTGAAATTTCTTTTTTTCTTTTGCCACTCACCTGAATATGGTCATTGCTACAGAAGTGTGAAAAGAAAACAGGACCTAATAAAAGTAAATTATCTATCTATATTTCAAGTTTACTATCCTGACTGAAATTTGGGCTGGTAGGATAAGAGTTCCGTATCCTTTTCAATGGGGAGCACCTTCCTTCGATGCTGGTGAAGCCTTTGCAATGATGATGGCTTCGTTTGTTGCTCTCGTGGAGGTATGTCTTTTGACTGTTGGTTTCTCTTGAACTTATATGCTTCAATATTTTAAATTAGTTAAAGAAATATATGCATGGCTCTGCACAGTCTACTGGCGCATTCATGGCAGTTTCAAGATATGCAAGCGCGACTCCTTTACCACCGTCCGTTCTCAGTCGTGGTGTTGGCTGGCAGGTAAGAAATTGCTCCTTATCATAGATTTACAAATGCATAGTTTGGAATCCCCAAGGACTGGGGATGGTCCCTTTATTGCACTTTTGGCGTCTGATTTCCTTACTGTAACTCTTTTTACATGTACTAACGTGAAATTTACAACACCTGGTAATTTGGAGTAGGGACATTTCAAGTTTTCGCATCTGATCTGCGAATAGGGACATGTTACCTCAATGGCTTGTCTTTACCGCACAATGCTAGATTTTCAAGAGAATGAAGTCTCCACATCTTTGTGTCATTTGGGATCTGTACAACACCCCTGCAGATCCAAGACTCTGACCTGCAAAAAAAGAAATAGGAAGACTACACCGAGCTTATATGAGAATAAGCATATTATTATTCCCGCTGTCCTGGAGTCCAGTGGGAACTATAATTTTCGGGATGGAGAATGATAACCTCTAGCCACCTAATTGGAAACTGCTAGATCAAGGAAAACGAAAAATTATCTTAAGTAGTAAGATTGAAAATATGTGAACATCCGAAAGAAAGAAGGCAAAAGCTGTAAAACCATGAAAGGAAATACGCGGTCCTTTCCCTCTATATATAGCGCTGTCTTGTTCTCATATCCATTGTCCCTAAATTCAGCTGAACTCCTCGAACTATCTGGGTGTTTTCCTTTTTACTCTTGGCGTGAACAATCCTCATAAAGGTAATTACACATCAGGTTTTCTCACCGACTAATAGCAGCATTGGAATTGGTTATTGCTTTCAAGGATTTTTTTGGGTGAATAAGTCTTTTGATGACTACTTTATCCTGGCGTTTACATGCTAATCGATTTTTCATATCCTTTCCAGGGTTTTGGCATCCTGTTATCTGGCGTGTTTGGGACAGTAAATGGTTCCTCTGTATCAGTGTAAGAACTTCACTATGAGAAACATTTCTCTATGGCATACAGATAAGACGAGGAAGAGAACATAACATGAAACTCTTCTGCTTAATGTAGAGAAAATGCCGGCCTCTTGGCTGTAACGCGTGTTGGCAGTAGAAGGGTTGTGCAGATAGCGGCTGGATTTATGATTTTCTTCTCTGTTCTGGGTATGTGTTACACGTATGACATCTGGTTTACACATGCACACATAAAGGATTTCAAAACAACATTTCTGCAAGAGTGAAATGAAAATGCAAAACAAAGCAAGTCTTTTCCTTTAATAGGAACTTATCCTATTTACAAACAACTACATTTTCATGTTTGTGCAGGAAAATTTGGAGCAGTTTTTGCTTCCATCCCCGCACCCATTGTCGCTGCTCTTTATTGTCTTTTCTTTGCATACGTGGGTGAGTTTCTCAGGTTGACGATATGGCAAGCATGTAATCTCTTATGTTAGTTGATCAGTCTTCTTTTGTGATGATCATCTACTCTATATGTGCAGGGTCTGTCGGTCTGAGCTTGCTTCAGTTTTGCAATCTAAATAGCTTTCGGACGAAGTTCATATTAGGTTTCTCTGTCTTCATGGGATTGTCTGTGCCGCAGTACTTCAATGAATACACTGCAATCAATGGTTATGGTCCAGTTCACACTGGAGCACGATGGGTATGCAAAACTTCTTTTTCATATATATCTCTACATTTTGTATAGTCGTGTATGCGGTTTGAATGGTAGGCCTTTATTTGTGGATGACTACTCTTTTGACTAAAGTTCTCTTATTTTCTCAATTTTACAAGTTCAATGACATGATCAACGTTCCTCTGTCTTCGGAACCATTTGTCGCGGGCTGTTTGGCATATTTCCTGGATAATACATTGCATAAGAAGGATGGTGCAATCAGAAAAGACCGGGGCAAGGAGTGGTGGGACAAATTCAAGTCATTCAAAGGCGATACAAGAAGTGAAGAATTCTACTCACTGCCCTTCAACCTAAACAAATATTTCCCATCCGTGTAACTTACATCACTCTGATTGACCACATGCTGTATCATCGTTCTGCACTCAGCAACTGATTTCTAGTTTGTCTTTAGCATGATACTGGTCTATTTGCTTATAACAAGTAAGAACCACTATCTTTCCCTTCTATTAGAGACTAAATGATGAATATTCAGCAGGGGAGGTCTACTGAAAAGGCAATAAAGCTATTTACTTCTCTCACGTGTTCTTTTGAGTTCTGATGTTCCGCGACATTTCATTTTCTGCATCTTTATACGCAGGATTGCTTCTCATCAGCTCGATTACGAGTTTGACTTTGTGCAGGAAAAAACTGTTACGAACTGATGGAGAAGAGTGTGTTTATAAGACATTAACATGCATAAGTACACTAACTTGTGAACTAGTCACATTTGATCAGAATCTGTCCCATGCAACTCTCTACATTTTAATCAGATCAGATCATGTCCATAACTGCATGGAAACATCAGAGCAAGCATCGAAAATGGAGAGCAAAAATAACAAACCAGATAAGTCTGTGTTGGCCTCAGGGAGTTGGTTTCATACTGGGAGAAAGCGAAACGACTTCACACTACAATAATACAAAAACCTCAAATTTATAATATAAAAATCTCAATACTGTCTCCCTAATCATTGTCTTTTCCAAACCTCTTTGACCTTGCCCACACTCTCAAACCAAAAAATTAAGCCACAAACTGTAAAACCTGTGAGTAAACAAACAATGAAATGGTTCGTGTTTTAGGAGGAAACGATGGCCATTCATTGTTTCCTCTAGGACACCTTACTAATCATCCACACGTTGACTGAGACATACTATCCAACTTAGTCACTTAGAGGAGCGTATTAAAGAATATCATTGGAGTTTACTCTGCAACTTCTGCAACAGGCAACTTAGGCACCTCTTCTATCTTTGCATGCTTGTCTAGCTGGCTAAAATTCCCCTTAACCTTAAAAAGTTGGTTATGGTGGTGCTTACAGAAGAGGCGATTCAGATGAGTGATGTAGTTCGATGGGCTAATGACACAACCTCCATGGCTGCATCTGAAACAAGCTTTATGATATGATGTTCCATCAACTGCCACCTGAAAAAATTAGTAGCCAACAGATAAATTTAAGAAGCTACAAGACGGATAAGAATGAACTCCCGAGATAAATTATCCTCATATGTAAATTGCATCAAATCACCGATCCTCCTATAAAACAATTATATATAGAAAGAAGGATAGCTAAGGTGAAGTCATACGGAAAGGAAATACAAAAACTCATGCTAAAATGACTGTCATTCACTGGAGTTTTTCATTTTGTACTTTGTGTGATCACAATGTGAACGACATCAATTATGCTGCCAAATTACTCGGGTTTACTCTGAATTTGGTGGATGATTGTGCTGTACTTATTCCACATCGCTTACAATTTTCTAACATAAAACTTCTTTAGAATAGAAAACATGACAGAAGAGGCTGCAGAAGAAGTGAATGATCACACAGGCTTCCAATTTCAGTAAGGTAATGAGAATATCATTGGGCCACCAAGGGTAGATCAATCATCAATTAACATGATGACCAGCCTCAGTCACAAGCAATTACTTTTGAATTCAGGCTTAGTGTTTGGTTGATACCAAAATATGACTCCATAAAAAGTAGTAGCTTGCCAGCATGTTTCTGATGTTTACCTTTTCAATTGGATAAACAGTCTTTTTGCACGCAACACACTTCTCTTGGGTTCCAGAAAAGAACCTTGAGACTTTGCTGTTTGTTTGTACCTGTCCAAAATCAACCATTATAAGCATCTTAACATAATCTTAAGAACACAATATATCGCAGAAGCAACTGATTTAACAAAATCTAGCTCTTATAGTGAAGCTAGTTGAATGGGGACTTGGCAAATAAAGGTTACCTGATCAGCAGATTTATTAACAGTTCTCGGAGTACCTACATAGACATGAAAAATGAACTGATCAACAAGTGAATCATTGAGAGATTAATGTCTATGTTAGTGACTTTCAATTACCTTCAAAACTTTTATTTAAGCTGCCAGTCATCTTAAACAGTTGATCAAAGTGGGGCTTGCAATATAATACGCCCTCAAAGGAGGAGTAGTTACTCAGCTGCAGGAAATAAGAAGAATATTAGAGATTTAGAGAGGTAATCATCACAGAAGCAAAACCAAGATAAATATGAGCAGAACTTGATCCAACTAGACCAAATTCCATTAGAAAGCAAAGGATAATGAGATCAATCAAATGTTTGCGTCAAATCTCGGCATGGACAGTGGAAGAGATAAAAGACATTCGATGCGGTCTTGAAGAATAGGCAATTTGATCACTTGGTGAAGAGCATTCGACCCTGTCAAGAAGCTCCTAGCAATACTCCAATGACTGAGACAACACCAGTCCCAACAATCTTCCAGCATTCTCTGATAACAACCTCATTTCTTGCTCACGAGCCACAAGCCCCGGACATATCGATGAAAATAATTCTGTTAATAGAAAGCTCCATTTGCTGATCACTATCTACCAATCCTCGGATCGACAAATTCTATTTGATCTTCCATGAGAAGCTCAGGTTTTAATTCACAGTACCTCATTAGAAGGGAAATCTCAATTTTTAGTTCACACTATAAATAATGATAGCAACCTACAGAACTTCAGCTGTTAACGAAGGCATGATTCAATACCATACGTTATAACACTTTCCTTACATCTAGGCTAGGATTCGACCTAAAAATGAAACACGGGTCTTGATTACTGCGCCTTTAAAAATTCAAACACTGGGCCTCCCACTTCGATAACAAGTAGAATTTTGTGCAATCATTCCTCTAACCGATCTAAAGTTTAAGCTTTATGATGATAAGGTGATTCAATAATTAAATATTGTGTAAATCAATACGCATCTCTAATTGCTCCCACCTCTGCCAATCCTCCAACCTTCACACGAATACCAAGCTGAAAGTTGTAAAGACAAATTCGATCCCCATCCATCACCTCTCCATCAAAACTGAGATGAACCAGAGTTGAGAAAATCCAACAAAAGAGGTTCACTGTAGATGTGATCAACTAAAAGAAAGCAAAGGAACTAGAGATTGGTTCATATACCTTTAGAGTGCCCTTGCAGTGGTGGCATCTGAAGCAAGTCCTGTGATAGACCTTGTTGTCAGCTGTAAGCTGTTCAACAAAATAGACGGTCTTCTCACATGCCTTGCACTTTTGTGTGGTCCCTGAAAACGTAGCCATCTATCTATCTGAAGATCTTTCAAACTCCAGACACACCCACAAGAAGAAACAGCAGAAACCTCAATCCTCAAACTCAGACCCAACAAACAGGTCAAGATTCAAGAACACAAATCTTGAAGTGCTTTCTTGGTTCTTGATGATGAGACAGAGACCAATTCTCTCTCTCTCTCTTCTCTCTCTCTCTGATTGTGTCAGAGATTATTAGTACGAGATTTGAACCAGCTCAGACAGAGTCAAGACAGATTAAAGAAATGGTGGCAACCTAGCAGCATAGTCTATTCTTTGTTTAAGACTTTTTCATTTTTTTGACAAATGAAAACAAAAAGAAGGTTGTGTACTCACGAGGGTCCTTTTGTAAATTCGCTGGCGAAAGTTGACTGCTACGAAAATTCCTTCTCTGACCACTACAAACACAGAATTCTAAGTTCCAACGTGGGCAGTTCCCTGTTTTTTTTTTCTTTTTTTGAAATTTACTTCCCTATGTTCAATTTCTTTATGCACATTATTCTTAAAGAAGCACGTAGGAGTAACTCTATGGGTCAGGAAAGAAGAATGGATTACGGCACCAATGAGTCGGCGTCTTGTACTGTGTCGCGTGAACATCGCTCGAACACGACATGAATCATTCTTCGACAAAAATCAAAATTTCTTCGTATGAGCAATTTTAGTAATGATGCCTACTCATTATAACCATGATGGCACAACAAAGCCACTTGATTAAAGAACATGCAAAATTAGCATCTGTTGCAAACTAGCTGTAAAAAGAGGTAACCTCTGATCTGATGTTTGTAATCACCCAAAAAGACTGATGCAGATGTTTGTACTATGTTTGTGTTCCATTTGGTAGATATCTAAATCTTAAACTCATCACGAGTTTACAACTTTTTCATAAGCCGGAAAGTGTAATTAGGTTGAAAGCCATAAGTTTCACAATCCAGGTGAAACTAAGGAACCTTTGGCGTGCGAATGTAAGACATTATCTAATCGTTAACTTCAGAGGGCAGGATGACACTGACACGTATTCTTTGTATTTTTCCTCTAAAGGGTCTCATCCATGACAGGTAACAACAATTTCTTCTGAAAAACTCGTGTGGGGTCGTTTTGAAATTCAAGAATTAGACACCAACTTTCTGTGCAGCCTGAACCGAAAGTAAAGGCTCCAAAGATGGCCCACATTTGCTTTTGCTACATACCTATGCCTAAAAGATGCACGAAAAGACAGATAGAGCAAGCCATCATGGTCGCCCAAGTCACATTATCATTTATTGGCATTGAAATAATTTAAAAATCCAAACTTTCTTTACTCAATCAATTTTCATGGATACACCCAAAACGCTCTATCCACTTTGCATCAAGTAAAATTTTACCGATTGAAAATGGCTATGGTTGCCGAGACTACTTTTAATAAGAGGCGATATTCAAATATGATGCATTCATATTAATCGTTTAACCATTCTATCAATCTTCTGAGGATATATTTTTTGAGCTTTCGCATCCTCATGTCCTTTAACAAATTTTTTTACTTTCTTCCGAATGAACACTTTCTCATGTTATATATGTATTACTCGATGTCACATGGTAGAGTAACTTAGTATTATAAATAGGAAAAAATCAGGAAGCCCACCTGACTAGAGAAGCATCTTGCACTGCCAAAAGTGATACAAAGAACAAAAATTCCACAAACTCAATCACTGAAAACTACTTTTTTTTCTCACGGTGGGTCGCCAAAGCAGCTGTCGACTTTACCCCAATTGCTTTCCAAGTCATGAAACATTCGCAACTGTGGGTTCGCTTTACCGTAAACATGCACAATTATTATGGGTCGCAAACGCTAGGCAAATACTTTACCATAAAAGGCTGCATAGGACATTTGATCTTGGTTTCAAGCACAATAGATGCACTTATTGGTAGATACAAGCAAGCAAGTTAAAAAAAACCCTCAGATCATGGTTCTGCAATGCATCTTCCCCCTCCTTCCCTTATCTTCGCCACAAACTCATCGAGATGCTTGTCCGAGCTCCCGCCTTTACTCGCAGCTCTCTTAGCTTCGTCTTTCCATTTCAAAGCGTTCTTCTTGAACTCTTCGCTCCTCTCTCCCTCCACGACTTCCCTCACGCACCTCTCTACTTCTTCCCTGGTCACCATCCCTTGCTCGCCCTTTCTGGCTCTCAGTCCGACTCGCCACTTCTCCTCCAGAAACTCGGCATTGGTCGGCTGGTCGCTCCACAGCGGGACCCCCACCATGGGCACGCCCAGGCTCAATCCCTCCAGGGTCGAGTTCCACCCGCAGTGCGTCACGAAGCAGCCCACTGCTCGATGAGCTAGCACCTCCAATTGGTTGCACCATTCCACAACTAGCCCTCTTTGCTGGATCGAATCAAGGAACTCGACGGGCGATTTCAGCTTGTGCTCGAAATCCTTCAATACCCAAATGAAGTGCTTGTTGGTTGCTTTCAAGCCAGATGCTATTTCTTCAACTTGGTCCGCAGAAATGTTTCCCATGCTCCCGAACGATACGTATATCACTGAACCCGGCGGTCTTTTGTCGAGCCATCTCGAGCACTGGTCACCGGTGGGGTTCCAGAGACTGCCTCCATATGATGTGTCCCCATCGATCTGCCGGTCGACATAAGCTGATGGTACCAACGGGCCAACCATCACCAATGGCCAAATTCCAAATAAGGCATTCACAAGCTGATGAATGGAAACGAAGTAACAAAATTAACTGAAGAAAAGGGGCTGCAAAAGCAATCACTCATTTGCAAATCCAATCTAGATGAATAGGACCACCAAAATATTTTGTCCAAGCGCATGATTGGAATTCAGACAATCCTAATCTCAGACCAGAAAAGGTGTGGTGCATGTCTAGCTCCTCGTAAACTTGCCTAGGCATTTTCAAATAATATCACAATCAGGACCTGTTGCTCTAATTCTTCTCTACTATCTCTCTTCTTGTCTGATAATCTCGACAATATTGATGATGGAGCACACAAATAGCGTATATCATTTTGATTGAATTATGCCCTTACAGAAGCACTGAAGTTTCCATTCCATGTGATCAGCGTCAGACAACCAGGTAACTTTCTTGGAAGAAATAGGTAATTACTTCTCAAGATCTTAAAAAGCTCCACGGACGAGAAAGGTACATGCTCACCTCAGCCTCCAACTCTTCAAAGGAATTGCAGAACACCCAGTCATTTTCTTCCAGGCGAGCAAATTTCTCCATAATCAAAGCCAGATAAGCCGACTGACCCTTGGAATCCGCAAGAAAGCTCGGTAAGTCAGAGAATTCAAGCAGAGGAAGGCCGGGCAGCACGATGGGCAGCGCATCGGGGCACAGGGGCAAAGTCAGCCGACCCTGGTGAATGTACCAGTAAAAGGAGCAGACAGAAGCTGAGTTGGTTAATAAAACAGCTGCATATATCCCAAAGCTTTGCGCCACATCAAGAGCCCACGGAAGCAATGAATCATACACAATACAGTTCACAGGGTGGTCCGTTTTAGAGAACTTGGAGATGAGCTCGGATAGTGTTCTCGAGCCGACTCTCTTGAACGACTCTACATACGCTTGTGTGCTAGGAGCTTGCTTATAGCCACCCTCGTCAAAGCCATCGGAGATTGGCTCGACATGCACCCTCTCCGCTTTAATGGAGCCAATGGTGTAATGGGTGGTGGCTAGAGTGGCCCTGAGGCCTTTGGAGGCCAAGCGCTTGGCGAACTGGAGAAGCGGGTTGATGTGGCCCTGAGCAGGATATGTGAGCACGAGGACATGACCTTTCTGGTTCTCCATGTGCGCCTCTTTGTTGTTACGAGTGGTTTACCTTGCCAGATGCAAGGATGGACTTTATGCTTTGTTTGGTTTTTAAAGGTAACTTGATCGTAGAAAGAAGCATTTTCTTCTTAAACTAATCTGACCGTGATCAGCAAGTATTTGCATCCCTGGCTCAAAAGTCAAAAGTCAAGACTCGTGTTGAAGACCTGCATCCAAAAAAAGGTGATATGCACAAATATATGTTCTGCTTATGATCTGTATTTTTTCCTAGCAAATGAAAAAACGGAAAACGGCTTGGCATTTCGTTCAAAGATAAGGTAATCAATTTAGCAAACCAAGTTAGTGATGCTTCTTTAGGGAATCCAAAGTTGATTTCTTTTGATTGTAAAAGAGCCGGCTCCAACTTATTCTTTCCCCTAAAAGAGTCTTATTGCGAAGGGATATATACACCGAAAGTCCTAAAACTTGTCACGAAAGTGCAATTGAATCATAAAACTTGCAAAAGCTTAATCAAGTCTTAAAACTTATCAAATTGGTGCAATTGAGTTCGTCCGTTAACTTCATCCAACTTAACTAACGGAAAATGCTGACATGACTTTTTTAAATATTTTCTCTATAACGTGGCTAAAACACGAAAGATAAAACGAAAATGACATCGTTATATGATTTTTAATACAAATTTTATTTAATTTAAATTGCAAAAATAAGCTAAAATTAAAAGAAAACAAAAAGAATTTAGAACTAGACAACACGCCACCTAGTTGGGGCCACCAGTTAGGGGTGAGCTGATTCTAGGGTAGAATCTGGAACCTGAACCTGTAGTTACTACGGTCCAAGTTAAGCAGGGTAGGTTCTAGATTCCAAAAATTAAGGAACCTAACGAGTAGGTTCCAGGTTCTAGATAGGTGGAACCTGGAAGCTTAAACAAGTTTTTTGCGTTTATTCTTTGTCTATGTTTTCGAGTGATCTTGCGGTGTCTCATGACTTTAAATAATTAGTGTATAATCTGAAACCACTAGTCTTAACTTTCATTTTATGACTTGTTAATATTTCATATTTTTTTTTGGTAAGGAATATTTCATATTTTTCGTGTGTCTATATATATATATATATAAAAGTTATTTTCAGTAGATCGTAGCATCAAGTGATAGTCATTAAAGGTAATAATTCACTGCAATTGTTCAATTAATAATACAAGTATAACCTATGTAGACCCTAGAACCTGTGACAAGATACGTATGTAGAGTAGGTTTCAGGTTCCAAAAAAATGAGGAACTTATTCCCATTGATAGATTCCAGGTGAAACTTGTACGAAACTTGAAACCTCACCCCTATCGCTAGTGGCAGCCGTCGCCTGCGGTCGGCAAGGGTTGCCAACCCTTAGCTGGGGCCCGGTAACTCCTACCGACCATTCCCCA